TATGACTTAAACTTAACTTATTTACTTTATTTTTTTCCCATTCCATTACAGATCAGTGCATAGAGTGCGCCTCATCGTCACGGTCAGTTGCCATTAGATTTAACAGCTACAATACACCTCTCTGTTTTAGAACAGATGCTCAACTAGGCCCTTAGTATCCAGAAATCATAGGCTTTCCCATAAACACATGTCGACTGTGTGTTCTCTGAACACACTGGGTGGTTAGCCGTTGGTAAGCGGAACCACAAGTACTTACTCGGTACTTATGTGCTCAATGTTTCATAATGATTCTGGATTTTCTCCTTTATAACATATAACTTAGTGTCAATGTGTCTGGCAGCACACTTGACATGTTGTCGTAGAAGTTAACTTATTTTAAATGGTTATTGATGTTGACTACCATTGTTAAATCCGGGTATATATTCCCTTAACCACTTTTGCCTGTTCCTGAGGCCTCATGACAAGCTATACTATGGTATGCATCATTGATGATACCACAACTTTTTCATTGGAGCTTTTCCACAATAACACTCTAACTGCGAGTGTTAGCAACTACTGTGGATTTCACTACACATCTCACCAAAACTTAACATTTATACCCACAACTATTTGAGAGTACTTGTTCTTTCTTACTCAGCATGAGACCTATAATACTCTGCAAAAATTGCAAGACATTCTTAACTCCATTCAAGTGATCTATATCTGGACTGGACTTCTGCCAAAATATCCTGGATACGTAAGCTATGTCACGGTAAGTTCTTACTTGTACATTCATTAAGCTTCCAACAACTAAAGCATATGGAATCATGTTCATTTGATCGATCTCATATCGATTCCTGGAACACTAAAAGTTTCCAAATCTATTACCCTTGACTATAGGAGCAGGCGTAGGTTTACTCGCATGCATACTTTATTTCTTTAGAATCTTTTCTAAGTGTGCCTTTGCGATAGTCATAATACTCATTTTCATCTATCTCAGTGAATTTTGATTCCTAGAACCAATGATGCTTCACCAAGATCATTCACATTGAAACCTGAGGACAAAACTACTTCTCCAATGACAGATTAACATCACTACTAGTGAGAAGAATGTCATCTATTCACATGATGTGGAAAATAAATTTTCCATTCTAGAACTTCGCATAAACGCTATTGTCCTTCTCATTTTCTTTAAAACCTAAACTTTCTTATCGTTTCATCAACTTCAAATACTACTGTCTAAAGACTTACTTTTAACCCATAAATAGATTTCTACAGGCAGCATCCCATATATTCTTTTCTTCCACGACAAAACCTTTTAGGTTGTGCCATGTAATCGTTTTCATATAAATCTCCGTTGAAGAATGTCGTCTTTATATCCATCTGATGTAACTTTAAATCGTAATGTGCCATTAACACTATTATGATTCTAAAAGAATCCTTACATAAGACTAGAGAGAAAACTCTCATTGTAATCTATTTATTCTCTCTGTGTAAAGCATATTGCCAAAAGTCGTGCTTTATATCTTTCTACATTTCCTTTGGAGTCACATTTTATCTTGTAGACCCATTAACAGCCTACTATTTTGGCTCCATTAGGAATTACTTTTAAGTCCCAAACATCGTTGCTATTCATCGAATTCATTTCAACTTTCATAGCTTCTTGCCATTTAAACGAGTAAACGCTTCTCATGGCTTCTTCAAATGAGATGGGATCACCCTTCATTTGAATTTCTTTACTAACATAGACTTCATAGTCATCAGAAAACTGGTTTACTAATTTTTTGAGGCCTTCTAGGGCCTCAGCTACTGGTACTTTCATATGGGGTTGTTGTTGCTCTTCATTGCCAAGAGACAATTGATTCTACAGGCTCCTGTATCACAAGATTCTTGTTTACATTATTCATCTTCTTCGAAAAGCTAACAACAAGTGTTGTATAAGTCATACAACATCAACATATATTGAGAAATTTGTTGTTTTGAATCATTGAAGTGGGCACACAGTCCCTCTTCTCTTCAACTTTTAGGTCTCTACACACCTCTACATACCATGATCCCCCAGGCCTTCCCATCTATTCTAAAGATAGCGTGTCTTCAAATATCTTATTTTAGGTTTAATCTATTAAAACCTCATATGGCGCTTTAAACACCACCTCAACATCTTTGAGGCTGACTACGCTATCTTCCTGTCGAAACTTTAAAAGGTCCATAAATTTAGCTATTTCTTTGCTTAGGGGTATCATTGTTGTGACCGTTGTACTCCTCCGACGGTCACATTTATCTTAATTAATCTTTATCTCACTCTTAATGAAGAGTATCTTTCTTAATTGATCTTAATCTCACTCTTAATGAAGAGTATTTTTTTAATTGATCTTAATATTTCCCCCCTTGAAATATGGCATGGACTTTACTGCCATAATTTCGAGAACTATTTAGAAAACCTGTCAACTAGGAGACACTTATAACTTACTTCATTCACATGATTATGTCATGTAAATAAAGTTATTTCTTGACCCGTTTAGGAGTACATTTTCTTTATTTCACTTCAAGAACTTAACAAGGTCTTTCATTAGCAGTACTTTTACAAGTCACGATTGCATTTTTTCTTATCTTTAAGTTAGTATTGACCATGACAATGCATTCTATTGTGCCACGGTCAATACTAGGACAGCATAAGAGCTACCCAAACTTCTCTCGCTATACGGGATACAAAACATGTGAATCAACACAAAACTTCTCCCGCCATGCAGGGTTGACTAACATAAGTACTATACCAAAACTGCTCCCCATGCGGGATAAATCTATACGAAACCTTAGTCATGACGACTAAAACATTCACTTATACTTTATTTTCCAATTAAATCTTTCCGTTGGTTCCTATTTAATCAAAAAATTAGTAAACTAACAAAAAAAATTGTCCTGAACTGGCTTGACTCAAGCCTTTTCATTCACATACCCCAGCATTGCAGCCCGTTGGCATGCAGCCGAATGATCTCGCCAGTTAAAAAATAAAACATACAGTATGCTTCTGCATCAATTCTACATCACCATTGGACAGAAAATAGAATTAATGCATAAAACTCATAAATTAACTTTAAATCCATATAACTACTCTTCAAAATTAAATTCTTCCATTAGTTCGAATTTAATTGGAAGATAATCAACATCATTGCAGCGGAAACTTGATAATGAAATACATTCTTTTAGTTCAGGAGCATTTCTTGATCCTTATCTACTCTATGAAAAATTAACCACGTTGGTATAAAATTTTTCAGAGATTTAAACTTCAAACTTAAATTCATTATAATATTGTCATCATCAACGTTGGTCAGAAAATGACAATACCATAATCTTACTTAAACAAAAAACGGACTACTCCTCTAATTTAAATTTTCTCGTTGGTTCCAATTTAATTAGAGGATAAACATAATCATAGTTTACTAAATATAACTGTTTTTTGAATTAAATTCTCCCATTTGTTCGAATTTAATTAGAATTAACAACATTAAACTTTGCAGCAGAAACTTAAATATAATTGATGAATTTTACCCACAAGAAAAAAATCACTTTGCTAATTTTCTTTAAGCCATTAATCATTTTCCAAGAAATAACAATTTACTGGAAAAGAAAAAGAAAACCCGACTCAAAAAGGTGTTGTTTCTTCGGCTCGACCGAGAAAGCGGCCTGGCCGGCTATTGCGCGCGCACCTGTTGCGCCCTCCCAGGCCGCAACCTAGGCCTAGGCTAGCAAAGCGGCTCGGTGCTCGCGCCGAGCACCCGCCTGGGCTCAATCTCGGTCCGGTTGCTCACAACCGTTGGATGGAGACCGACGGTAGCGCGTTGATCTCACCGGATCAAAACCCGGCGTCGACGACCGCTCCCCCGAACCCTAGGTCATTTGCTCTCTCTCCTTTCTCTCTCTCAACGGCAGCGACCGAGCGCTAGAGTGGTAGCGGCCACCGGAGCTGGCAGAGGGGTGGTGGTGCCCAGTGGGTGAGCAAGCCGCCGTCGAGCGGCCTAGCGACGGTACCCTAACACGCGTCGCGGTGCACCGACGCGGAGTCTTTCCCGGAGTGCTCCGGTGAGTGGGGGGCGGCGAGGTAAGTTGTCTCCCTAAAACTTTTCCCCTTATTCTTTCTACTTGATTCTTCTTTCTCTTCTTCTCGGAGCTGGTCCGATCTAGGGTTAGAGTTTGGGTTACTGTTCATCTTCCCCAATGGGTTAGGGTTCAGCTGAACCCTCTACATCTCTGTTTCTTTCCCCGATTAGGGTTAGGGTTTCAATCCGAACCGGATCAAACCCTCTGTTCTCTCTCTCTTTGGTTTCTTTTCATTTTTCTACCCCACGCTCGATCTACACACTAGCAACCATCTCTCTGATACCATTAATAGATTCTTAGGATCATCTAGGTGTAGATTAGAGGGATAATTTGGTACTAGTTGATTCAAAATGATCTTGAACATGAATCGGGAGAGCGAGACAGAGAAGCCCATACCTTTAAGGTTGTCGGGGAGGAGGAAGAACGGAGTGTAGCCCAGTAGAGTCCTGAGGACAGGAGCATGGCCGGCGGCGCTTCCCATCACTTGCAGCGCGCCCGCGATCGGAGGGGCTTCTAGGGTGACGGGAAGCGCCGACCAGTGGTCGGTTAAGTGTCCCCAATCAGGACGCGGTAAGGGGTCCGATTGGCGCGTTGGGCCAATTGGTGGAGATCAAACTAACAAACTGCACAGTGCACAGTTGAGCAATCATTTCTTGCACCAGAAAAGAAATGGCTGCATTAGGGCCAACAATTGCGCATAGCGAATGACAAGGAAACTACACTCAATGCAACATCAGTCCCATTCAGCTTCTCAATGGACAGGAACAGCAAATCTTTCATCTTATTTTGCATGTGGGTGTATTGTTCACCTCAAGCTGGCAGACAAGAGAAGACTGTCGGCATGGGTAACATGCTGCAAGCAGACACCTCAGAGCTCTGCCTCCTTGTCTTCCTCAAACTACAAATTACAGGAGACTTTGCAGTCAGGCACTCTTGAGAAACTGAGCATGGTGCGCAATGTGATCATCCACGAACGTAGCAATGAAATAGTAGGAATGGTCATATCCAGGCTGCATGCGCAAGGTCAGAGGAGCCCCGACAGCCTTGCACGCCTCCTCGAAGTTGCGAGGTAGTAACTGCTGCTCAGCTAGGAACTTGTCAGCATCCCCCTAAACAAGGTTGTCAATACGAGCATAGCGGATAAGAACTCCCACAGAAATAACCCTTTTTACTTCTACTCTGAGATAAACAAAAAAACTACATAATAGCAGCCTCAGGACTCATCAGACATTTAATTTTCTCCAAACAGTGTCCCACTGTGGGTGATGTATGATAGTTATGAGCTCTAAAATCTATCGGAAACAGCTGATAAGCTTGACCCACTCTAGTCTTTAGGAGCCTAGACGACTAGACTTCTAACCAGTTCAATCAAAACATGACATTTTAAATTAAATCAATCCATTCAGGCAGTAGGGATCTATGCTACTGTTAGTAACTGTTAAGTGACCCTGATAGGCTCTGAATAATGCTCATGTGTGGAGTCCTAGAAATGCTACGTGAATAAGTAGAGGTCTCGTCGTTTGATGAGCTAATCCAACCCGCAGTGTAGAAGATCATCAAAATGGCTGTACTGAATCACGTGCAACAGCGTAACAAAGAAAACGTGAACAGCCCAATTGAAAAAAAATGTTCTAAGGTCCCCATTTGCCATCAACTTCCCACCTACCTATTATCCAGAATGGCAACTCAATAATGTTGACACAAACATCTGAGTAAAGCTACTTGAGTCAGATTCAGTGGTACCTCAAAAAAATCCAGCTATAATGCTAAGTAGATTTTCAGATGTCTCCAGGATTTGTTCTGATACGGGCTGGGTGGTCTGGGTGAGATTTCATTTTCAAGAATGAGAGATATCAAATGTAAGCACTAAATGACTAGTCAACCCATTTTTTTTTTAAAAAAAAACATGTGTGGAGAGGCAAGCAGGTGGTTTGGCCACATGGGCATGTGCCACCACACTTGACTTAAAAAGTTAAAATCATATTTCCTCATTTTCAAACAGCTAATAGTTCCTTCCATGTTTTCAAAATATAGGACAACAAACGAGCTTGGCTAGCAACAACGTGATAGCAGAGACAGGACATGAGTGAATACATGGCCAACACTGTACCTGGTCAATTAGGATAGGAGTGGAAACATTGTTGTTCTTTTTAATCAGGCAGGTTGCGTCATATTCCTACGCAAATCAGGCACTTGTAAGTATCCAACATGTCTCAGAGATGAGTGATTTCTAAAGAGGAGAATATCTCCCAATCTGATTTAGTTGAGCCCAGGTAATTTGAGAATGCTTTCTGACCCCACGGGCAGTTTATTGGATTGGCAATTGGAGCAAATGCTGATACTGACTGAAATATAAGATAAAACCCAAAATTCAGGGTGAGATCCAATACAAAATGTCATGAACGAACTTGAAAATGTTATCTAGGCTAAATAAAATGGCATGCTAAGAGTACCTTGTATTTATCAGTATTTTTTAAGTAAATTGTCAGAGCACCATGCCCTCCCATTGAGTGCCCAAAAATTGATGCCTGTGAAGTGTTAAGCTGTTCGAAGTTGCCACTTACAGCTTTTGGAAGTTCCTTCACAACATAGTCATACATGCGCCAATTTTTCCACTTTTCATTTGTGGCGTTCAAATAAAACCCAGCACCTAGTAACAAAAAGAAAATGTTAACATATCTGAATGAGTGTGCAGAAATAAAATCATCCAACCTGCTAGTGTATACCAAATTCAAGTAGTGTTTCCGCAATGTTCCAACAGTAATGCTTTGACAGAATGCAATGGACCTCCCCTTACTACTAAAGCACTATTATAACCTACTTGCTATAATAAGGGTGCCAATTTCCATCTCTTCCTCAAAACACGTAAAAGAATCTCATCATGCACAGCTACTGTATCACTATGAGCATACACAGGGCACTACAAACAAGTGACCATGGTACAAGATCACAATAATTGGTAAAAGGCACAAGTGAATTGTATAATGTATAGCTAGAACTCTAAAATATTAACCATCAGGGCTACAGAAAGTAAGCAGTGTTCCTATCCAGACCACTAGATACATTGATATGGAAATTGGCGTGATTAGTTTTTACAAATTGAATGTTGCTTCTATTGTTACTTTATCGGTAGGTACCAAGTTCGGTCCACTGTAATTGAACCCAAATGATTTTTTTGCATGATTTCTATTCTCCTTTTGTAATTTGACAAGTTTTTGTTACGAATGATTCGACAAAAATGCTGATGTAGATCACTGTAGATAAATAGGCAAAGAAAGATGTACTAATGCACTGTGTTACATGGATATGTGGCTGAGGCCTCGTCTCGCGTATCGGATACGTATCAGATACGAATACGCGGGCAATGCATATCTTCAGTGTATCCGATTTTTGAATATTGAGTATGTGGGCCAATACATATCTGACTATTCAATACAGCCCAGCCCAGCAAGAAGCAATGCTCTCTTTTCTCCCTCTGCCCCCGACGCCCGCCCGCCCGCACCACGCGCCGCCTCCAACGAACACGCTTGGTGACGCCTAGCCCCCGCTCGTCGGCCGCCTATGCCTATATAGCTTTATCCATACTGTCAAGAGAAATTCCTTAACTCTAGAGCATGCTAAAGATTTGGTCTTTGTGCACTCAAATCTGAGGCATCTGTCAAGAACTGATGCATACAAGACAGGAGAGACAAGGATGTGGGATATGGGAGGAGATTCTTTTGATTCACTTGGTGCTATTGGCATTCTCAAAGTGGCTGACCTCTCCCTTGATGAGCCTGAACTGCAAGCTGTGTCTTTTGGTTTGGATGATCATGATCTGCGGCTTGATGTTATGGATGAGAATGAAACAAATGAGACAAATGGGGAAATAAGAACTTGATGCGAGCCTGAGTTGCAAGCCTGATTGCCTTTTATTAATTTCCTAAATTTGAGATTACTATATTTGAGAACAGACTTGAGACCTGCTGTGCTGTAATAATATAACTTTAGTTAAGTAGATTGCAACGCTTTATTGTTATTCAGTTTTAATATGTTTTTTATATTTTAAAATAGTAAAACGTATCCGAGTATCGGTTTTTTCAGGAAATCGCCGTATCCGTGTATCCGTATCCTTCCAATACTGATACATGTATCCGTATCCATGCTGCATAACTAATGCATGACTACAGCATATGCAATAACTGATAAGCACACCAACCAAAGGGCAAATGGCTTTAGGTTATGCACTTAGCAACCATTGTCCTTGGACGTTAGAGTAGATTATAGAAATTTATTTAGCATTTGTTTCAACTGTATTTGTGTTCATGAGATTCAATATTACCATACACAAATCATATATCATGCAGCAATCTATCGTGCCATGGTTCGCCGTTAACTTTAGTAGAGATTGGACAAGTGAAAGTGCTGCTCAATGCAACAGACTTATACATGTCACACTAGTCATAACAAATCTCATGCATTGCCTAAAAAAAGTACCATCATATAGTGAGTTAATGCAGACTAGCCTATAAACTCATGCTGAATTTGTGAAGGAACAATTAAGGGAAGCGGGTGATGGCATAATGAAATCATCACGGGGTAACTTATCAAGTTGGACATTTAATGAAGTTTGCCAAGTCAGGAGACCATATTTGTGCAAAATGCAAAACTTATAGCAAGATTATCTTAGTTAGAATCCTTGATTCCTTACCAACACCAAAATCATAGCTGTCTGACTCTCCTTCAATATTTAACCCCCCTGCATAAGCCAAAGAAAAAGAGCAATGAGAAAACAGAACCCATTTACAGTAAGAAAACAATAAGCATATAGAGTGTATTCTCAATGATGAAAGGTGAAGACAATTAATAGAAATGAGACCACACTGAGCATACTACAAATCATTTGCAGGAAAAGGAACAGACACTGCAGTAAGTGATCAACAGGACCCTAGTTATATGGTAAATTGGGAAATAATCGTTACTTTGGTTATGTCACTAAACTCAGCTCTAAACTATCAACTATGTTTAGGCTGGGGAGAAGGAAAAAACTACAATCCCTAAGTGCTGTAGGGATGTCTTTGACTCTTCTGCTGATAAGATTGTCTTGCTCATACCAATCCCAGAAAAAGGACCTACAGTGGTGGGATTACTAATAACACAAGCCTGTAAGATATCAACACTTCGGGTAGTAAACCCTTGTTCCTTGAGCTCTATAATATACCAGCAGCATTGTATTTATCACATCAATTTTTGGGAATCCAAGTCAATACAAGTCCTGACAAGTCATAAAAAGGACAATTCTGGTATTAAAACTAATTGGAAGATAACAAAGGATGAGCTACCTCACATGAATAAATGGCTCTAAATTCTACCATACAATTGCTGGTTAGGCTACATAAATGGACCAATAATAGTGAAAACTCACTAGCAGGTGGTAGTGCAATGAACGAATACCACTATGAACTTTAAAATCTTGCTTGACAAATCCCCAATAGGGGAGCATGTCAGGTTACTCTGCCCTTTTGGAGAGGTGACACTTTTTAAGTTGAACAGCATTTGATAAGCATTAGGTCCACTGAGTTCAAAAAATGTGCCTACTAATGTAACTCTGGTCCTTGCACTTAGGGTAGGAACCAGTTGCATGCTGAACCTATCAAAAGGAGTGATAACACAATCGATTCTAAATGGGCCTCTCATTACACATTGGAATTTAGCAGTCAGCCAGACTATGCAGGCAAACAAATAATCCCTGCCACTAGCGAGATTACGATTCTCAAAGCACCAGACTGAGCCTCCACATTTTCTAAAAAAAATAAGGAAGGAAATCGTTACTCGTAAAGTCGTAAGCATCCTGTTCTACGACCGCGCCACGCTTCTGGACCGGACACATAGATGGGCAGGCATAAACCCTAGAAACATAACTCTGTCAGCCAGAGCAGCAGGGATTCAATTTCGACATACGTGGGGAGGTGTCAGGCACGACAAGGGCGATGCCGTGGGCGGCGGCGGCGCGCTGGGCGCCGGACTTCATGATGAAATTCTCGTCGTTGCAGGTGAGGCCCGAGAGCCAGTACAGCGCCTGCAAAGCATCAATACGACACCGCGTCACATTCCGCGGCACAGATTAGCCCAGAGAGAGAGAGAGGGAGGGCAGGGGAGCGAGGGCGGCGGCGCACTCACGGGTATGTTGGACGCCGGGGACGGGGGCATGTAGATGGAGAAGGTCATGGAGCAGCCGAGGGTGGCGCTCTGGTGGCGGAAGCGGAGGTTGAAGCCGTCGAACATCTTGCTGCTGCTCAGTTGCTCCAGCGCCGCCGCCATCGCTCGATCCGCGCCGCGTCTTCGGCTTCGCCTTGCGCTCGATGCGGTGGCGATGTGGAGGATGGGGGGACCGGGGGAGTGCCGGAGTGGTAACTGGTGACTGGCGTTGGGCGGAGAGGCAGGGAATATCCGAGGCTCGCTGGGCCTTATCAAACCTGATATGGGCCGAAAGCACGAAACCGCGTATATTAGGCGGAAATGAAAAATGTTTTTTTTTCTGCCTCTGAACTAGCGCCAAAGCACAGGTTTCTATCTTCTCTATAAAAAATCGAATAACTTTTCCATCAACTCTAAAAAACATTTAAATTACCTCTCTATCATAGTAAAAAATATTTTTCAAGGCTCTTTCACAAATTTTAACTGAAAAACTGCGATAAACAGCTGATAAAGTTTTAAAACCATAAAAAATGCTAAAGTTTCTAAAAATTCTAAGAAAAATCTTACGGATAGACTAGAACTCGAGTAACCCAAATAATACTAATATTTATAGATCTCGTGAATATATATCTAGAAGCTTTTCATAACTTAGATTTAGTTTTATAAAAAATAGGGAAAATATCTAGAAAAATCTGAAAATTTCCCAACATGATGTCATGGATTTCTAAATGTGTTTTAGAAACCTTCTAATAAAAATTGAGATGCAATCAGTGTGAACACAACATACATTAATGTTGGATGCTTTAATGATGGTTGCATCTCTTGTTTTCTTGTGGAAAGTTTTCAATATGCAAGTAGACAGGATCGTGTGATTAGAAAATTTCCAATCTTTCTATGTTTTTCCATTTATCGAGAGCTAAATCCATTTTGAGAAGATTCTAGAGATATTTTCATGAGCTATAGATATTTTATTCAAGTTTCTCGTGTCCCAATCTATCTTTAAGATTTTTTTGATTTTTTAGAAATTTAGAGATATTTTTATGGTTTAAAAACCTTATTGGATGTTACTGAATTACTTTTAGTTTTAAAAAGATGAAACCACTTTTAAAATCACTTCTAACCAAGGCGGGTAGGTAATTTAAATGGGTTTGAGAGTTGAGAGAGAGAATTTTATCAGATTCACAGTTCAAGGAGGAAACACCGACTCTAGCCATAGTTTTGGGAGGCAAAAATGAGTTTTTTCCCACTTGAAAAACTAGTTGCTTTAATGGGCTATTATACCTCCAAGCCAGCATAATAAGGCCAACACAAATAAGTTTTACAAGATATATAAACGTACACTTGGCCTTGTCCTCAAGGAAATATAGGATCTGAGACGCTGCAAAATAGTGATTTCCACGAAGACACTCTTCTTTGAACCTTCTAGTCACATAGAAAAGGTCAAAGGGCCTTGTACTGATAATGTTATGGCATATATATAGCATTTTGATATTAACACCTATGTCAGGACCGATTCTCTCCCTTGGCAACCATTGGCCTGTTCCAAACATCGTCCTCTTTTAGGACTTAGGCGTCCCCAGCAGCTAGCTATTTGGCTACTATTTTAACATGGATAGGTAGGAGAGAGACTAGTCACTCTGGCGACGATCAAATAAATAACTGGTCTATTTTATGTAGTCTAAGAATTTGAGAGAGGAACATATAGATCCAATAGTACATGGAAAAATAAGAATATATAAAATAGTCTTTGCTTTTGTTTCTCACCTTCACGTAAACTAGCTACGTAGCTAGCACCATTGTTGACACCCTTAGGAGAGTTACATATCTGTCAGCCAGCACATGAGCGGGCAAGTTTCTCATGTTGTGAGTTTCTTGTGTCATTACTCATTAGTCATTAGTGCTCTCGGCTGCGCACGGGATGTGCTCTGCTTGTTCTACCAACAGACCTAGATGCTGCATGTTGCAGAAAACTGAGAAAAGCACCCGCAAAAAAAACACAGCTCGATCGTGAAAATCAGACACACCGACACAACACATTGCACGATGCCAATTTCCAGCAAGAAATCTTCCTCGAGTACTTCATATAATATGCACTTATAGCATTTATTGATTCAGTAATCTCTTGTACACCATGGCAATGAGGAAGCACAAAGAATTGTACAACTCGGACACAGGACAGCAATCACAGTGGAGATGCCTGCTCCAAGCTCGATCAAGAATGATCGGGCAGCTTGGTGAGTTCGATTTCATGCACCATTCATTTTATATTCTACTAATTTACAGGACTAACTAGATCATGGTTTTCCAAGGAGAGACGGGCGGTAGAATGCATGGCTTTGTGCCATCTCAATCCTTTCCCGAGGATCATTCATCGTTTCATCCCTCAGGGCTTGGAGAATGTCCCTTGCTGGGAGCTCCCTGCACACAAGTCAGGTATATATCAGAAGGGTAAAATGAAAGCAGTTAAATGCATGATTGTCACTTTTTCACTCCTCAAGCACACTGTAAATTTCTCCAGTTATGTGGAGAGTAATGGTGGTACATAGCACAAACCTTTTAATCAGTATTCTGTAAAGCCTTTTCAGGATTGGGCATAGCTCAGCTGGAGCAACCTGCTTGTTTTCTTCCGGGTGCTGCACACTTAAGCTGGGCTGACTAAGCAGCTCAAAAAATGCACCAACGGCAGAGACACCCTATCCAATGGAATGGCAAAATGATCATTGTGAATCACATTGTGTAAAAAAGGAGAAGGGATGGCTGCAAATGTCAGGGTTATCAAATATTCCAACAGCTCAGAAATCTTCTCATAATAAAACAAGACAAAATGAAAAGAAAAAGTCATTACATTACCTGAATCATTCCCTTTCCCTTGATACTATCACCCATGTCAGGACTCAACTCTCCCTTGGCAAGCATTTGGCCATACCATGCATTGCGACCTTTTAGAAGAGTTACATAAGTGTCAGCCAGAAGAGGACCAGCGAGTTTCTCGGGTTGCTCTGTCAGCAAATGAGTAATGAATATCATCTCTGACGTGCAATGAGCAAAATATACAGATTTGCTTGTTGCACTCTCGTTTGTTAAAGCTGCCACCATTCCTGAAACATAAAGAGAAATATGATAAAACTGGTACTCACAGAAAATGTAGTAAAACAGAGTATAAGAAACTACACACGTCTATGTGTGTGTTCGACAAAAAAAAAAGTAGAAGAAACTATCCTATCTGTGCCCATTGCCATTTATGACAAAAACAATGTTCATTCAAAGAATGGAGATTATCAAAAAGTAAGCAGCAAGTATTTAACCCTACATCCCTATTTAAAGGTTTTCCAATTTGATTGTTTCTTTTCTCAGAATTCTAAGGAGCCCTTCTGATCTTAGTGCACCCCACCCATACTCTATTTAGGCAAAGAGGTCATGGTGATGGCCCGATGGATGACCATTAAGAGATCAACTAAAATTTAAGCAAAGAAAAACATTTCGATGTTTATTATGTTTTCTTCAACATCAAGGAGTAGATGCCAATTGTACAATAATGTTCACAGCCAAAAAAGAACATAGAAGTTAGTTTTACCTGCGCCAATTGCATAGACATTCTTCAGGCCACCCATCACCTCATGAGTGACAAGATCACTGTTGTCCCAGACAATGAAATGTGGTTGCCTCAAAAACTTAGCAAGAGGCTTCCTCCACTTGTTGGATCCACAGATTCGAGCGTTTGCATACTCTTTGTTATAAATTTCTGAGGCGATGTTTGGTCCTCCAAGATAGAGTATATTCTCAGTTGGAACTCCAGCTGCAATGCACTCCTAAAAAATATCAGCCTGTACTGTTGAGCTCAAATATGCAGGCCAAGCATTAAGCAGAGCACCAAAAAAAAATGATTATACATTTCAACCAGATGCATGTCAAGATCAAGGCCATTCCTTCCATCAGGGCATTGAAGATAAGCACCATGTCATGATCATGCCATAAATTTACAACCTTGGCGTGTTTTGACTTCCAGTATACACAAAACACATCATAATGGTAAATAAAGAATTGGAACAGACACGTAAACATATCAATCAGAATTCATTGCAGTCTTGAATGGAGGGGGAAATTTGATACTATTATGGAGCGAATGAATTGTTGGTGAGTGCATATCCACAAACTAACTATGTTAAGCAGCTAATGGCATTAATTATGCAAATTATCTGATTAGGGTATAGCAGACAAGAAATAAATGGGCTCATGCTGTCCTATATAAATGGATAATATGGCAGGTAACGTAATGAGATTATTAGCATAGACTATAGACATCAGGTTCGTTTGTCAGAGATGTGCAGTACACAAATGAGCTTTCCACATGATAACATTTTGTACGCTGATAAAGAATTCTGCTATTTAATCATAGCCAAGTACTACAAACACTTTGATCAAGCAGCTTATCATGCACGTCACAAATCATAATAACAACCAAGACCATTCAACTTCTTTAAGGAAACTTGGTGATTGAATCTTTCAAGTTTAAAATACGCAGGCAGGGACAAGACAGAGACAAGAGAGATTCTTACTTGCAGAGCTAATCATTTGAGTAGGTGTAATGATACGAGGTATTGGATCCAACGAGGCCTCAATTCCCTTGGCGAGGGAAATTATCACCGGAACACTGATCCTCTCCTTCCAATACTTGCTGATCTCATCAAACACCTCCCTCGTCTCGGTGGACGGCACCCCATTCACGACGATGTCGGCATCCCAGACGGCTTCCTGCAGGTTGGTGACGACCTTGAGAGGGCAGAGCGGCGTCTCGATCATGTTCAGACAGAACCCATCCTTCAGTATCTCGTCAGCATACAGCGTGCGGTCTCCGAGCCGCGCCTCGACGTACTTGAGGTAGGCGCAGCGGCGGATTAGGCGCCTGAGCACGTCCTCCCTGGAGTTGATAACCTCGAACAGGTGCTCCGCGGTGGAGCGGTCCACCGTCCGGCCCGGGCGGCGCCAGATCCTTATCTGCACCTTGTCCCGGAAATGGCCGTAGGCGTCCTGCAGGAGAGCGGCGAAGACGCTGCCCCACGCGCCGGCGCCGACGCTGACGATCTTGAGCAGGTCCCCCTCCGACTTGCCGAGCAACCGGCGCAGCTCGTCCAACCGCTCCTCCGTGGCCGTGCCATTGCCACCGTGGACCGATCCATTGACGTGCACGCTCCCAACCATCTCCCGAGCCCAGTAGTCAGTGCAGCAGGAAGAGCTCGGCTCACAGGCGCGCGCTCCGCCAGGTAATTAATCGAGCACCTTGAGCGCGAGCGCGAGGTATTCCCACCCTCCCAGAGCCCGATTCCTGCATCACCCAACGACCCCGCCGCGCGCGAGACCGCTCCGACCGCCGCTCACCAACCGCGAACCTAACACAACGCCCTCCGATCCTCCCTTACAAAATTCCGAGAGCTGGTCATCCACCACCACCTACAAACCAAAGAAACGGCAAGCACAGCACAGAACAGAATCAAGCACGGCACGGCACCGATGTGTAGCAGGGTCGCAGTGATGGATAAGTAAGGAGATGAGCCGCAGTAGCAACGCAAGCGGCTACCTTTACGTCGCCACCCACCTCCAGCTCAAGGATCCCGGGGGCGGAGCTGGCCGGCAGCCGGCATTGGGGTGAGGAGGAGGGGCGCGGGGGGTGGCGTGGCGGATGGGGATGGATTGGACGCAACGGCCCGGCCAGCGCTGGATTGGAAGCAAGCGCTCGATCGCCTTGGATAAAGTAGATAGATGGGGGCGGGGCGGCCCGGAGGTGGGTGGAGGCATTGATGGGCATGGGTGGCGCCAACCATGCAGTGCCCGCCATTAATGAGCAAGCGAGCGAGGGCCGGGAGCGGAGACGTGGAGTGGGGGAGGAGGAGCAGAGGGGAGGGACAGGACAAGCCTCTGTTTCAGTGCTTCGCTCGCTGCTTCCCGAGCTGCTAGATAGAGTGATGAAACGAACTGCTGCGACTACGATGCGCCAGCTACAACGACGGAGATGGGGATATTGATATGGCCAGATGCGATTCTATGGCAGCAGATGGAGTTGATCGCTGTCTGTCTTCGTTGACACTGGCACAGGAGCATGTACATCACATGCGGGAGTGGGCACTGGGCAGCAGCGGCAAGTATCGCTGTCCTCCCCTCCCGGACGGACAGTTGCAGTTGCAGCTTTCTAGCTCAGCTCCGCGGAGGCGAAACATACCGACGTCCCTCTCAGGCACATGTTCGCCCATGAGCTCCTTTCTTGGTTAGTTGGTTGTCATTTGCAACCTCCACCACGCCACCACGGTACTCCCTCCGTCCATACGCTCCTGAGCCCTTTCTTCATCTTGGTTGTCAGCTGCAACCTCCACTATGGTACTCCCTTCGTCCATAACCGATGATGTTAGCCCTCGAGACAAAAATTAAAAAGAAGTGAAAAATGTAGTGTGTAGGGAAACGAGAAGGAAAGAGATAATGACAGAGATGTATTGAAAAACAAAAGGACACGTCGTAAAGTGAAATGACAACTGATTTGTGACAAGCGTAGAAGCTTAGAAGATCAAGTATTATGGGACGAAGAGAGTAGATTGCTAGGCTAGCACAGCTCAAGGATCAGGACCGTACCTGAGATTTGGAGGTATTTGAACAAAATACAGTACATGATGAACCCCTGAAAATCGAGAAAACATCATAACCAAAAAAGCATAGTTCCACTTAATTATAAAGCAAAGGAGGCAAGGTAAGGAGCCACAGCATGCTTTTAATGGAAGCTAAGGAGCCAAACATACCGGTGGACATGGTCACTGAACCTTACGTTAGTGAGTTGGTCTAATTAACAACCCAGTAATTGCAGGTCTATTTGGATATGTCGCATTTATTTTTTCTATTCAAAGGAAGCTTTTGTTAATGAAGACTTGAGGTCTCCTTGGTTGGCATCTAATTTTTGCCCAACCAAAATCATGGTAAGTCAAAAATTTTGCTATCAATTGATGGATTGCCACAGAATTAGCACACCAATGTTTATAGCCAAAGTTTTAGCAAGTATCTATAAACTTCTTGAATTGCATAAGAGAGAAAAGGTGCTTTCTACTATTGTTATAACACTCAACCAATTGCACACCTGCTTTTTCGCCCTAACTTCGGCAAACCTTGATTTTGGCAAGCTGCCGCGGGCGCCGGCAACCAGCCAGTAAGCCTCCCCCTCGCTGTCCTGTCTCTCTAGGGTTTCGCTTGTAGCGATCGGTGTTGCTTGGTAGGTGACCAGCTGACGGGGCTGCCTGATTGAGTGTGCTGTACTGAAAGCTGAAGCTACTGTCTGTCGAATCACTGTACTAGCAAACCCTGCATCAATACGAGGCTGCAATTCATTGTTCGCTTTCTCATATACTCCGTAGCTCACAGTAGCACGGCATATCTCGTAAGGAAAGTTCAATTGGGAATAATTATTGGCATGCATGCGTTTTGCAATGTGCACCTTTAGGGATGCGATTATTTATGCAGTTTACAGCTTCAAAAGTCAAAGCCATGGTTTCTACACTTCTATACATATCTGGTCATCAAGATGGGTTGTACACTTCTATACACCTCTAATCAATGCATTCCATTCATAAACTTAGCAGCACTCAAGGAACCAGATTTAGTCCAACTAAACAGCGTAACTAAAATGATAAGGTTGGTTCAGGGACATCTCATTGACCACGATGGTATTCCCTACTTTGCAATGTTTGGAATGCTTGATTATGGCTTATGAATGCAACCGGCCTCATGTAGAGTGCATTTCGTTAACTATATGTGAACAAGTCAGTTGAATGTAACTTCTGGAATAATGCATTTGTTCAACACTGCTACTGCATTGGGTTCTGCAGTCCTTCCTCTTAATGCTCACCATCTACCACAATTAGATGATGATTATGTTTATGTTCTCTACTTTAGCATGCCAGTATAAATCAATCTGGGAATACTATATATGACCCAACCAATTTGGCAGTGTTTTCTGTGTAGCGCTAGATTTCTCTTATCATGGTTTATACAGGTTGCTTGTCATCAGAATGAGGCACTAAGCCACTAATTAATAGATTATATGCCTGTTCTGCTCCCTTTGCCTGGGCATATAATTTGTCTACATTCCAACAAGTGAGTAAGAAAAACTGAAAGAGCATATTTGCCTTGTCCCTGAGCTTCTTCCTTTGTTTTGTAAAAAGGAAATAAATGGTACTCCTAACAGGATAAGTTGGATTGTTGGATGCCCTTTGATGCTTTGGCTTATTGGGCAAAAAGATTGCAATTGGTATTGGTTATTTAAAGCAGACACTTCCCTTCTGCATCTAATCTCTTATTGTATTGGGTATGAATGTACTTCCTTTTGTTATATTATATTTCATTGCTCCCTCTTTATTTTGGTTCCTGGGCTTGTTTTTGTTTCTTTTGTTTTTATTTACAGTTCTAGCTGTATGCTGAAGTGTTATTCAGAATGTATCTACTTGATTACTTGTCAGTTTCCTAAATGCACAGTACATTACTACCATTACTCCCGCCATTGCTATCTAGGTTTGATATGGTATTGGTGAATCCTTAACTTCTTGTTTTTGTTGTTTTGGCCCAGGAGTGTAGCACCGATTAATTCGAGCAATGTCTCTCTGCCCACACCATCATTAGACCTTCCAGATGTTGCAGATGTCTTTGCTCGCCCTGCAGACAATGCATCAAAGAAGAGAGAATCAAACGAGTCTGCTCTTCATGACTCACGCAGTAAAATTCCACGGATGCAATCACTACCCCGAGGCATGAGAAGTGCTGCAGGGAAGGTTAGTTTTTTCTCCTTTTCCTCCACAGCTTCATGGAAGGTTACTTTTTTCTCCTTTTCTGAAAGCTTTGGAGGCTTTGCCGAAGGTTTCGGTGACTCAGGAGGCTCCGGCGGGGGTGCAAAGGGCTCCGGAGGTTGCAGGGGATGCTCTGTGAGGTATGATTTCTCTTGTGCGAAGTTGTTTGGTTTTGTGGCGGTTGTATGCGTGATTTGCTCTTCCCTTGCTCAGGTGGCAGTGCAGGCGATGGAGCTTCTCGCAAACGCGATGATGAAGAAGTCGCGGCACTTTTGTTTAAGACAAAGAAGGGTTAGTGTTCTGAAGAGATTTTTATCGGTGGTTTAGGTTTTTTACTCTATCTGATGTTGCGCTTCCTTGTAGCAGCTGCCGAGGAACTCATGGATGGTTTAGACCTGAATGAGCTTCTAAAGCTCATGCGTCAGAGAGCCTACCAGGTAAGCCTTCGTTGTAGCTTAATTGGTTTTGTTTAACTCAGGTTGTTCGTGATGATATTTTGCACTTGCAGAGCTGTATTACTGCAAATTCTATGAAAGAGAAGGTGCAGAGCACCTTGACTCTTCAGGAGGGGACTCTCGCCAACCTTCACGAGCAAGTTTCAACGCTTTGCTCTGAGAAGGCTGCACTTGAGAAGCGGAACCAAGAGTTGTTGTCTGATCGTGAGGCTGCGCTTTCCAAGAGAGGTGCTCTGGCCGTGAAGATCAAGGAGATTGAGGAGGCGAGGTCAGCTGATGCCAAGCTGATATGTTGCTGCTTGCGGCAAGTTGGGCACGGCGTTCACTTCACACATCTCTCATGCGCAGCACATGCACGTTCCCCCCAGGCAACGCGAACACGTACGATCTCGGCTCCTCCAGTCCTCCTTGCGTCGCGTCGCGTGTATATATACATGATCATCGATGCCAATATCCGGCTCAACCCAACGCAACGCAGCTAGCATCGATCTCTCGATACATCTGCGCACCTTCGTCTTCACTCTTCAGAGCGGAGGTCGATCGACAGCTCCGAAGAAGGTACGTACGTGCATCGATCATGAAGGCTGTCGCGGCGATGCTTCTGCTGCTGCTGGCGCTCATGCATCATGCCAGGAGGTCACCACCAAAACAGTGTGTGTCACACATTGTTATGTGTGCTAGTATATAATTGTTTTGTTCCTTTGTTGTTTTATATAATTGCAGCTTATATATATATAAAAAAGGGCATATCCGTGCAGAGAGCTCCCGCTCTGTGCGGGGTCTGGGGAAGGGTGTCAGTGGCAAGCCCCTCGCCTGTTCAATGCGAGGAGACCGCGACTCAAACCCGAGATCTTTCGATCATAGGCGGTAAGACTCTGCCGCTTGCACCAGGCCCGCCCTTCAATTACAGCTTATATATGATTGATTATATACATACTTAGTCTCTAATGTCAATTCTTTTTTTTTTCAAAAAAAAGGAATATAATTGAATTGACATAGTCTCTATTCTCTAATGCCAATTCTTTTGTTGCTGCCTTTTGCATGCAGCGACACCATGTCGAATGGAGAGCAGAAGAGCGAGATGCTGCGAGGGTACGGTCACCTGTTCAGCCTTAGCCTCGCCCATTTCAAGTCGGCGGCGATCAAGTGCGCCGTGGAGTTGGGCATTCCAACTGCTATCAAACGCTGCGGCGGGGCAGCCACCGTCTCCGACCTCATCAAGGAGATCGGCCTCGTCCCTGCAAAGGCGCCATACCTCAGCCGCCTCCTGCGCTTCCTTGCCTTCTTCGGGCTGTTCGAGGAGGACGACGAGGAGTCTGCGTCAGCTGAAAGCCAGACGGTGTACAAGCTGACTCCGACGTCGCGGCTCCTCGTCCAGGAGCCGCTGCTGCTGTTCGACGTGCGACTTGTCCCACATGCTGCTGCTGTTCACGCGCCCCAGCACCACTGTGTCAACCTTCTTCGACCTGGAGCGTTGGTTCAGAGATCCAACTAGTACCAAGACTGTTTTCGAGGCGGCTCACGGTACGTCCACTTGGAGTCTCACCCAGAGCGACGCGTCGTTTAACGATGCCATGAACAGAGCTAGTGTGGCGGATAGCCGATTCACCATGGAGGTTGTGATCAAAGAGGCCGGTGGGTATTTCAAGGGCCTGAAGACTCTGACGGATGTCGGCGGCGGCCACGGCGCAGCCACGGCTGCTATCGTTGCAGCCTTTCCGGACATGCAGTGCACCGTGATGGGCCTCCAGCAAGTGGTCAGCAGCGCACCTGAGTGCGGCGGGACGGTCAAGTTCGTGGTAGGCGATATGTTTGAGTCAATTCCGCCAGCAGATGCTGTTCTACTCAAGGTAGCCCCTTGTACTTTTCAATACAGAATGTATACTCTCTATCTTCACATTTGTAACATACTGTTAAGTGTTCATCTCAGCTCGTCTTGCACTCCTGGGACGATGCCTCATGCATCAAGATACTCAAACGCTGCAAGGAAGCGATACCACCAACGGGAGGAAAGGTGTTCATCATCAACACCGTTCTTGGGCATAGGGGGGAGACAAGCAAGCAGGTAACTGAGGCGCAACTCTTATTTGATCTTTACATGATGAGAGGCCACGGTTTCGAGAGGGATGAGCGTCAGTGGAAGACGATATTCTTGGAGGCTGGATTCGCCAACTACACGGTGATCCCATTACAAGATCCCTTAGCTATGATTGTGCTTCATCCAAGTCCATTGGTGGTGGAGACGACGGTGAAGGTGACCGGCGCCGGCGGGGCCAAGGAGACTCGTTCCTGTCCACTGACGAGGCTGAGGCAGCGCCATGACCCAGGCCGGAGGCGAGTCAAGTCTCAAGCCTGCACCAACCTGAGCCCTGACGTGTGTGTGGCCTGTCCGGCTGTCCGGTTGCGGCTGGACTAATAAATAAACAAACTCAGCCCGTGTTTAGTTGACCGAATTTTGAAATTTGGGCTACTGTAGCACTTTCATTTTTATTTGGTAATTAGTGTTCAATCATGGACCAATTAGGCTCAAAACGTTCGTCTCGCGATTTCCAACCAAACTATGCAATTAGTTTTTTTTTCGTCTACATTTAATGCTTCATACATATATCGCAAGATTCGATGTGATGGCTACTGTAGCACTTTTTGGGATTTTAGGTTTGGAACTAAACGCGGCCTCAGATCCTCCATCGTCTAAGGTTGTGCTGTCTTTGGGCTGTGGCGTTATTATTATTGTTATGTATGCACGTGTACGTGCTTGATTCACGTTTGCTAGCTGCTCTGTCGTCGTGTTAAAACTTGCGCTGATGAGAACTTATTAGAGTCCCTACTTTTTTATTTGTCGGTTAACCTTATCTATGGTTCTCGCTGGGTTAAGTTAGTTCTTATTGGCTTTGGTTCATGCTCATCTGTTCACTGGGATGCTATATATCTTGTTATTTGTATCTATCCTCTAGAACACTGCACTGCTGCTCCTGCTCCTGATATCCTCTAGAATGAGATGACGCAGTGAATCAGTGAGTAGTAGATGAACACTGCTCTAAAACACACTGAATCCTCACATGCTGCTGCTTCATGAAAACCAAACCATCCTAGTGGATTTTACCACAACTTTGAGTAGACAAGTTTCCCTTTTTTAGAGTAGAATGTTACAATTTTTTGTCATACCTCTCAGACTCCTGCATGATAGGTTCTGAAATAAAGAGCTGGTTGGGGGACACACCAGTTTTAACATGATGGGCAGAAATGCCAGACATCCACAACAACAGCATAGAAACAAGAAGCGATACAAAGAACTACAAACCAGAATCTGGCTCTTGATCTGCTGCTTTAACAAGACTACTTGTTTCCGGTATCCCCCTAGTCCCAACATACTGCATCACACTTTCAGGAATAAACAGGAGTTCTTGATGCCATTGCTCTCTTCCTCACAACTCACATTACCATTAGTATGTGTTGTTATGGATAAAAAAAAAACCAGCTACATACTGCATCTGGACAAAATATTATAAAGAAAATGCTACAAGAGGCGAGGCTCTATATAAGTGCCACTTCAAAAAGGAACTGCACTTAGCTGTATATAAGCCAACACATTATCGCGTTCTGTAGGAACTCAGTTACACACCTAGAAATGTCAAATGCATCTTCCATTGGAGCTGGTTCGAGTAGGTGAACAGATAAATTCTTTAGTGCTTGATTATACTGCTCACTCTGTCATACAATAAACACAGGCCCTGCAACCATTGGGTCCAAATCCTTACACGTTGCTCCCTCATGAAAACACCAACCGAATGTATTGGTTCTACCACTATGAATAGGCTCATTGGCAGAATGATATATCCAATCCATGTAGGTACTTAGTTTTAACATAGGCTAACATGGTCACAACCATACAACGGACGCCCTGCCGCGGTTCTTCCCAAGGACGGCATCAGCGGCGCCGGCGCCGCCGATCACTGGCCCTTCTCCCGCACCTGCGGCCACGGCCACCGCATGTCAACCGATCCCGAAGCCATCCCCAAGGCGAGTCCGGTTACCATTGATGACGGCATGGAAAGGACCACTGCCACCACCACGGATCACGCCTCTACCCTCCATCGGCGATTTCATCTCGCCGGCGTTGCAGCGGCAAACTCGCCGGCGTCCGGGTGTCCATCGGCCTCAATTTCAAATTCCAAATCTTGGATCCACCGTCATCCAAAACCGGACTCGGCCCAAGCCGACGCGACCGCTCAGGTCGCCCCGACTCGGGCTACGAGACGGCCTCTGGTCGCACCGCATAAGGGCGGTCCCACGCAAGCCGAAGCCTCCACGCAACCACCCGAGGCCCGAGACGTCGAGTGGTCAACCCTACGATCATCGACGCCGCCGCAACCTGCGCTCCGTCATACCTCGAGGTGCTGATGGCCGGGGGAGACGGGGGAAGGAGAGGAGGCCGGGGCGCTCCTGGCAGCGGCGGAGCCGATCGCCGCCGGGGTCGCGGCCGCGCCATCATCGACGACGGACGCGGACGGGACGACGGCCAGGGACATCGAGGACGTGGTCGCGGGGGTCCGATGCACAACTCTGGCCGTGGGGGTCCAGCACCCTCTGCCGGCCGTGGAGGCCCTCCTCCGGCTGGCCCTCCACCGGCCGGCGGTAGGGGCAACTCTGCCCGGGGTGGACGAAACCCTCGGCACGCAGGAGGTGAAGCTGACAAAGATCAAGGTCCAAATAGCTCTGCAACAGAGGCTGCAGTGGTTGAACAGGGACAAGCCGAGCAAGAAGAAGGGAAGAAAAGGAAACGAAACACAGTGAAGAAGGTGTGCACTATTTGCACGGATGAGCACTTCACAAATTTATGCCCTTTGTTGCAGGGCCCCAAACCCTCAGTCGCGTTGTGTGGTGCAGCTGAGGATGGGATGGGGTTTTTCCAAATCCAGGGTGCAAGAAATAATCAGATCGTGGAGACATCACAGTCTTCAATTGCAGCACTGCATCAGATCAAAAGTCGGCAAAGTATCGGCACAGTTACTTCAAAGGAGCTCGCTAGGATTATCCCGGTCCGTTGGGATTGGGAGGTACAACAGCTGGGGCTAACTCTTATGTTGTCCCTCAAAGAAAGAAGAACTGGATCGCATGATAGCAATAGACACCATCAACACAAAGAACAAGGAAGGCACTATATCTTTTGCTGAGTTTGTGGATGATGTGCAGCCTATTAAGGTGTTGGAGCAGGTATGGCTAAATGTCACCGGTGTCCCTAGGCGCTGCGTTCGTTCTCCTATCGTGTGGGCGTGGGGACTATTGTTGGAGCTACAGAAGGTGGACATGGTTCATCTCAGAGCAACAGTCAAGCCCGCATTCTAGTGGCTGTTTTTGACCCCAAGAAGATACCAGGTATGGCGGACGTTTGTGTTGGCACTAGTATCTACCGCCTATTTTTCAAGGCGGAGGAAGATTTACAAGCCGACACCGGTGCTGATCCGTCTGATGAGGACTTGTTGAGTGATAAAGATCTGGAGGAGGGAGACCGTGAAATGGAAGATGCGGAAGATCCTAACCCGCAGAACCCTCGGGATAATAGGAAGTCTTCCCAACAAGCACATGACATAGATACTCAAAATGTCCCACCTATGCAGGAGTAGATGAAGCTTTGGACTTGGCCTGTGAGCAACTCTTGGATGAGATCGATCTTAAAGTTGCTTTGGAGTCCTGCTGAAGAGTTACTCCACCAACACAAGAAGAATTAGCGTGATTTAACTCTAATAATACTCTTTTTTCTTCTGCATTGTGCCACTACCTTCGACAAAGATTGCTAGTACATTTGTCGACCTTAGCTATGGGCTTTACTCCGCCATTGCCCTCCCCTCCTTCCACCGGGAGTGTCTCTTGCTGCCCCTATTGATATAGGGTGCGGCCTCGTTAGGGGCTCATCGGAGGCGCCCTCTCTTCTACTTCTCAGTGGTGGAGACCGGTATCATGACGTCGGTCCCCGCACGGTGGAGGAACAGTCGCCGCATTTGCCTGCAGGGCGTGGCCCGCAACCACCTGGAGGTCACCGCGATGGTCCTGGCTCGGCCACTCGACGGAGGAGACGCTCCGACTCGTCGTCACCCAATGTTGAGGTGGCTCAGTGATGGAGTCCACCGGCCGGGTTCAGGAGGGGGGCCCTCTGCCCACTCGCCTCACGCCGGACGGGAGAGACAGTGGTGGTGCTCTGCACCAGAGGTAGCGGGACTACCGCCATCGCTACTCTCTCCACCCAGCCCTAGAGAGGCCGCCACTGCTGCACGACCTTGGGAGAGGCAGTGTGGCACCAAATGCATCTCGGCCGTCTTGGAGGCAACATTGTTGGAAGGAGCGGTGCTACCTCACCATCTCTTGAGGGAGCCTCAATCCCACACCTGTGGTGGTTCCCATCAAAGAACTACGACAGCACCGTCACGCAACTTTAGCGGATGTTCATACACTCCATAAGTTTGACTAAAAAGAACCTCAATTCTCGTGTAACTCTTTTAATACCTTTCCAGTTTCAAAAATTATTTCAAACCTTGGTAGGGTAGGCATCAACCTAGAATCCTCCTCATCACTGCGTTTTTAAAAAATATTGAGGTAGCTAGGTCACCTTTTGTCAAAATACAAAAAAAAGGTTGTTCTTCCTCTAGGTGCTCCGATATAGAGAGTGATGTTGAGAAAGAGGACCACCTTGAGGGTATTCTCACCACGCTTGGGAGATCTAAATGAGAATATGCCAGTCTTTGAGTTGGATTCCATCATTGATGCACCACCTCTCAAACAAAGAAGATTTATAACAATGCCAAAATTCGTGGCAAAGTCAAACTTCTTAAAAGGCCAAAACCCTTCTAAAATCATTATAAAATGAAGGGAGTTTTCTACGAATAGCTATAGAGGTCTTGCGCTTGGCTAAACATAGGTACTTGAGGGAACTAGTTAAGGAAGAGCAAATCAATTTTATTGCAATTTCCGAGACCGGACGTGAATCCTTCCCGATCATGTCCTCAAAGATCTTTGTGCGGGACATGAGTTTCTTTGGCACACCATGGCCCCCATGGTAGATCAGGGGCATTCTTTTAGGGGTTGATCTGAATTTTTTTGATATTGGAGCAATAGATGAGGGAGATTTTATGTAAAATTCACCCTACGGTGCAAATCTAATGACTTCAAGTTCTGCTATATACTGTGGACCTCGTGTTCAAAACAAGAATGCTTTCTGGTAGAACTAGCTAACACTTGCTCTAAAGAATCTCTTCCTTATATAATAGGAGGGATTTTAATATAATCCGAGAAGATAAGAGCTCAGGGATTTTGACTATAAGTGGCCTAATCTTTTCAATGTCATCATTGATTCTCTGGATCTTAAAGAGATTGTCATGTCGGGCCGCCAATATACTTTGGGCAGGACACGGAGATGACCCGACTTTTGAAAAGTTAGACAGAGTCCTTGTGACCACCGAATGGGAGAATCAATTCCCACTCACTACAGCTTGAGGCTAGAGATAGAAATATCTCGACCATACCCCTCTCGCTCTTAGCACCGCCACTCGACCCACCAGCTTAAATAATCACCCTTTCAAATTTGAGAGAGGGTGGCTATTAAGGAAGGGTTTTATGGTATGGTTGCAAATATCTTGCAATCTCCTTGTTCAGATCAAATTCTCTGGAGCGGTGGCAATCCAAAATCCATGACTCGACTCGAGGGGATGGGCTAAACATACTGCTCTTATAAAAAGAGAAGAAGACTATACTAGGGCGCTTAGAAATTCTTGACAAGAAAACCTGACTTCTCGATTATCTTTAAAACATTATTTAAAAGAACGTCTAGTTAATCTGCTGAGAGAGGAACTCAAGTGGTATGAGCGTGCCAGGTGAAAACACTATTGGAAGGTGATGCTAACACTGTTTCTTCCATCTAGTGGCTAATGGGAAACACAAAGCAGAATATCTACAAACTTGAAAATGATCAAGGTGCTGTAATTGGTGATGATTGCCTCAAAAGCCATATTACAAACTATTATAAGAATCTCTTTGGGTCCCCTTAACAATCTGCTATCACTCTTGAGGAGGATCATATCGTAGATATTCCTCAAGTGTCCCCGGAAGAAAATGATATCTTAATTAGTCCATTCACTCTGAGGTGAGGGATGCAATCTTCCGGATGGAACATAATAAAGCTCCGGGACCAGAAGTGGTTTTCCTGCGAATTCTATCGTGTTTTTGGGAAATTATCAAGGAGGACCTTCTTTGTCTCTTTGCGAGACCTACATTTGGAGACACTGATCTCTACAGCTTGAATTTTGGAGTCATTACTCTAATTCCAAAGATTCAAAATGCCACAAAAATTCAGCAATATCGACCAATTTATGTCCTCAATGTGAGTTTCAAGATATTCACAAAAGTGGGCACAAATAGACTACGGTTGCCAAAAAAAAGGGTGAAACCAACACGATTACTTTTTTATGCCGTAGGAATATTATGGAAGGTGTGGTAATTCTCCACGAAACCATCCATGAATTACACTCTAAGAAAAGAAACGGAGTCATTTTCAAAATTGACTTTGAAAAAGCATATGACAAGGTCAAGTGGTCGTTCTTACAACAGACTTTTGTGTCTCACCTAAATGGTGTAGGTGGGTTCAGAATATGGTCTCTGGAGGAAGTGTGGGGATTAAAGTTAATGATGACATTGGCCCATACTTCCAAACCCAGAACTCAAACGTAGGTGATCCTATGTCACCTATCTTATTTAACATCGTCACCGATATGCTAGCTATTCTTATTAATAGAGCAAAAGCGGATGGGCGATAAGTGGAATTATCCCCACCGGTTGATGATGGTTTATCAATCCTACAATATGCGAATGACACCATCATGTTTCTAGACCACGATCAAGAACAAGCGAAAAATCTCAAACTTTTACTATGCGCCTTTGAACAATTATCCGGGCTCAAAATTAATTTCCACAAGAGTGAGATTTTTTTGCTTTGGGGCAGCCAAAAGAAATGGAATCCTTCTACACCGATCTCTTTGGTCAGTAAGCGGGAATACCCCTTCAGATATCTAGGCATCCCTATGCACCACCGGCAACTCCTTAATTCTCAATGGAGAAAAGTTGAAGAGCGATTCAACAAAAGCTCTCATGCCGGAAAGCGAAATACTTATCCTATGGGGGACGTCTAGTACATTAATTACCATTACCCATGTTTATGATGTCTTTCTTTGAGATCCCAAAAGGAGTTATCAAAAAACTCGATCATTTTAGGTCGAGGTTCTTCCGGCAAGGATCCTCGAGAGAAACATAAATACCGCCTGCCAAATGGGATATCATTTGTCGTCCCAAGGATCAAGGTGGACTAGGTATTCAATTTACAACCTGCAAAAAAATGCCTACTAGCAAAATGGCTAGTGAATCTCATGAACACGTAAGGCATATGGCAAACGCTATTACGAATAAATACCTAAATTCAAAAAGTTTATCCTGTGTCACGGCAAAAGCCAAATGATTCACATTTTTGGAGAGGCCTCATGCATATCAAGGATGAGGTGTCGGCAAAAGGTTCTTTCGATATTAAGGATGGAACCACGGCTAGATTTTGGGATGATGTATGGGTAGGTGCTAGGCCTCCAAAGTTCGTTATCCATCTTTATATAATATTGTGAGAGATCCTCACGCTCTGGCCTCAAAGATAATGAGCACTAGCCCTCTGAATATTTCTTTTAGGAGGGCTCGGTGGGTAATAAACTTACTGAAATGGCTTAGTCTAGTAGCAAGTATTTCTCATGTCGAACTAATAAATGGATCTCGATCATTTTAGATGGAGTTTAACCAGCTCAGTTCATTCTCAGTCGATCCATGTATCTCAACCTTATAGATACAAATACATCTTTTCGGCATAGGAAGATTTGGAAGATAAAAGTTCCTCTAAAAATAAAAATTTTCCTCTGGTTCCTACAAAAGAGGTGTCATTCTTACCAAAGATAACCTGTCTAGGAAAAATTGGAAAGGAGTCAATTGCGTTTGTTGCAATGGGAATGAAACTATTCAACACTTATTCGTATTGCCATAATGATTTGGAGGATTATCTTCTTTGCTACTAGTTTAACTCAACCTAGATCAATCACCACATGTTTGGTAACTAATTTGTCTAATCAAAATAAAAGGATTAGAAATTTGATTTGGGTGGGAGTGGCTGCTATGTGTTGGGCTATTTGGAGATGCCGTAATGATGTTGTTTTTAATAAAATAAAATCTAACTCTATTATGCAGGTCATTTTCGTGGGAGCGATCGTTACGCTTACGGGCCCAATTGCAGCTGCAGAGCAAGCTAAGGACGCGCTCTCGACAATAAGCAAGAAATTAGAAAGTTTTGCTCTAGAGATATCCAATAACGGATGGAAACAATTTTATTGTTTAAGTTAGCGTCTTGGTCATGTTATAAGACCTTGGCTTTCTTTTTGGTTTTATCATTATCTGTAATTTTGGGCTGTGTACATCTACGGATGTAGAGGCCGGATGTTTATCCATTATCTAAAAAAAAAAACAAAAGAATACCAAAACTCCCACATGGCCTGTGTTCCAAGAGCCAATAGAAAGCAAATAGTAGTGATAAGGGCCAGAGATTCGAAAG